AAATATTTGATTATTAATAATGATAATAACTATATTTTTACATATTAACCGTAAAATAATTCATACTTATATATCCTCATCTACGATCAGGAGCGTAAACGGTAACAGGTTTATAGGCATTGTTGGTATTAGAATCACACGAATAATCAATATATAATAAGTACTGATTTCGCATAAACGCACGATCATACCGCACAAGCAATGACCAGCACGTATAGCAACTCTTACCAGTCTTGCTCATAAATTTGTTCCTGAGGGTGGAATTGAATTCGAAAAAGTAATGATCCAAATGCATTGGACTCAATGCCTCGTTATGCACAATCAAAACTTGCAAATATTTTATTTACTAACGAATTGAGTAAATGATACCTTAGAGACGAGCAAGTATATGCTAACTCTTTAATCCAGGTAATAATAAAATATTTTCAAAATTTAACTAAAACTACTATATTAACCAATTAATTAATCAATTAATATTATTTATTATTATTATCTATTTAAGAGTTGTAGAGACAGACATGACAAAAAGGAACGATCTATCTTTGTCAGAAACTTTGTTTCTGGTTCAATCTCACTTGAGGATGGAGCTATTACTATCTTGTATTGTGCTGCAAGTCCAGAAATTGAAGAGAAAAATTATCGTGGAAAGTATTTTGAGCCATTTGGTGACGAAAGTGAACGATCTTCAGATGCTCAAGATGCATGATTTTGATAAAAGACTTTGCGAATTTACCGAGAATTTGATAAATGAAAAATTACCACAATATTGATTGATTTATTCATTTATTATGTAATTTTTGATATCAATATTCAAGTATTTTAGTAACCTTCTCTGTTATAAATACACATAGCTAAATGAATATCATATAACCTATCATTGAATAGTTGATATTCAATAACAAATTTTAGCGTAAATTTAGCTTTTAAAAAAATTTTTCTAATCCATGCTGCGAGATTTGCATCATGTTAGATTCCTGTGCACTTTTATGTATGACTTGTTATTTGCAAAACTGGAAACTAAAGGTCACGATAGTGAATTGACTCGACTATATCATGATCGATTATTGATCGAGTTGAGTCAATAGTCGAGCATGATTTTGTAGACTC